CATGTTATTGTCAAGTTTAACATAGGGATTTGTTTTTTGAAATCTTGGGATGAGGCCTCTGGTAGCATATTCAGCAAGCTGCAAGGTTTTAAATTATAAATTGGCGAAGAATCTTATGAGCATAAATTTTGATTCTCAGTTTATTTAATGTTACCTGCATAATTTCCTAATAATTTTGAACGCGCGATACAATGATAATGTATTCTGGGTTGGAACCAGCCTGTTCCTGTATTTTAAAGGATCTTCGTTTACATTTTGATCTTCGTATACGTATACTAAAAGCTTTAAAAAATGGTTGTGCATTCTTCTTCTAGTAATGTCTGGTATCTAATCGGAATATCTCTTTCCGGTGGAAGAGCACTAAGGCCTGAAGTAGGATTGTAATATCGTTTGAACCTTAAATGGAAAGAAATAAAAAATACAGCTCGAAACCACAAAGAGGCACATAAGAAATATATTCCCCAGGTTCATTTCGTCTTGCATCCTCCAAAGGATCGTGGCGGTCATCAATCGGAAACCTTCTGCCCCTTTTTGTGCTCTTCTAGCCTTGCCAAACACTCTCCCTGCAAAATTAGGCACATAGAAAAAAACTAAGCAAACACAAACAACATATCCCAAATATAGTCAAATTTTAAAAATTTATAACACGTAAAACTCTATATTTAGTTCTAATCAAGACATTCGTTATGAATCAATTAAAAATATCATTTTTTTTAAACTTGTCAAAGCAAAAATATTGACAATTAAAAGAATAGTAATTAAATTTAACAGGAAAGAAACAAAAAGAGGATAAAATCATAAAATAAAATCAATCTAAAAAATATTTTCAATAAAATCTTGTCAAAGCAAAAAAAAAATTGACAATCAAAAAAATAAGGATTAAATTTAATAGAAAAAAATCAAATGAGGGTGAAATCATAAAATAAAAATCAATGTAAAAAATAATTACAAGCAAAAACTAGTAAGTAAAAGAATGAGGACCAAGTTTGAAAGATGAAAAAATTTAAGAAGGATGAAATTGAAAATGCATATTAATTTTATAAATTATTCAAGATAAAAAAATCATAATAAAAACAAAAAGAACCAAATATGAAGAATGAAGAAATTAAAAAGTTGTTTTTTAATTTTTAAAGGACTTGTTTGAAAATCTAGGTTGAGAGAGAATAAAAAAGAGAAATGAAAAGGTCATCAGTGTCAAACTACCATAAATTTTGAGATAAATGTTACCTCATCGAGATGAAAACATCAAGAACTTTCAAATGTCATCATGAAAAGTAGTATTTAATTATTGAATAAACCCTCATATATCATCTTAAAAGCATAAAGACATCCACATACATGTTGATGTGTTCTCAACATATACTAGTAGTGTGATGTTTTGAATAAATGAGTAGGAAAATACAATAAAGCCCTTGGTGGCTTAAAGTGTGGGTATAAATGAATGAGGGGTAGTGTAGTAATTCAACAAAACTTGATAAATATAAATAGAAAGTAAAAAAAAAAATAAGTGATCTGAAATTTGAGAGAGAATCGGTAGGAGAGAGAAGGGAGAAAGAAGAAGAAGAGGGAAATTAAAAGAAAAATATAAAGGAGTTGAAGGAAATAAGTTTAAAGGTAAGATTATATATAACTATGTGTTGATTAAGTTTTAATTTTGGTTTTGATAAATGTTAGGGTTTTGAAAATTTGTGTCTTGGGTTTGATTGATGAATTAATTGAATGTTATGGGTTGATTGTTATGGGTAATGGATTATTTAGTGGATTTTGAGAGATTAAATTGAAAGATGATGATTTTAAGTTATGATTTTGTTTGAACGGTGAAATTATGTTAGAAATAAGGAAAGAACAGTGGGTTTCTGTTGAAATTCTGGGTTGGAGGTTGAAGATGACGAAAATTCATTTTGGTCCTTCAATTTGTGGAAATTACAGTTTAGTCCCCAAACTTTGAAAAATTTACAGATTGGTCCCTGGGGCATATTCCGAGATTCTAAACAGAATAAAAGATAAATTATGGGCAGAATTCCTGGATAGGTATGAAATTTTAACACTTTCAATTTGGTCCTTCAATTGGACAAAAATTACCATTTAACCCTAAAAATTTGATAAAATTCCAGAATGGTCCCTGGAGCATAATGAGATGATCTGGACAGAAATGAGGATTTATTATGGTCAGAATTTCAGTATATTCATGGATTTATGATAAGTTTAGTTTGGTCCTCCAAATGGATTAAGTTACAATTTGACCCTTAAAAATATAATAAATTACAGATTAGTCCCTAGGTGTAATATTAGCTTTTGCAGATGTGTTTGATGAATAATTGAGAGTTAGTTAGTGAAGTATTACCAATTTTATTATTTGTTTTATTATGGATTAGATTTTGAGAAAATCGTTAATTTTTTGGTTTTTGGAATATAACTAATTAGTTCAAAAATATATAGGGTTATGGAATATATCCTTAAATAAGTGTATTAAATAGGTTATATATTTTTTTGAGTCATTCTTGAATATGTCTCCTTTGTATTCAGATAATCCTGATATTCTACCGGCAGGACGTCAGTAGGATTTTTTTCGGTGTCTGCTTTTGATTTCTGTTTGCTTTTGAGTCAGGTGAGTGGATAATTTTCCATATGCATGAGAATATTATAAATATTTGATTTGTTAATATGAATTGGATCATGCTTCTTGATAATATATATGGTGATTATTATCCTTATTATGATAAGCATGATCATTTGTTGAATCCGAATTCTTGATATGAACCAATATGTATTTTGGATTGACTTCTGAATTGATAGCTCCTCATTTGATTGATGTCATGAGTTGAGCCTTGAGATATTAATATATCTGTTTGATTATGATTATAACTCTATGGTATGTCAGTCAGAATACCCATGCTAACAGGGTAGTGTTAGTCTTTGTGCACATCGTATCTGAACCCTAGTTGGTTGGGGGAGTCACTAACCTGTGTGGACTGATCATCCCACAGTACAGAGCCTCATGCTCATTGCATTTTGATTTTCTGACGATTTTACCATACGACATTCTTGTTATGGCCTATTTGAGAAACCTTTTTATAAGAACCTAAATTCATACTTGTATATATATTTCTCATTATTGTATTATCTCGTGTGTGTATATTGAACGTTATCTACTCACTGAGTTGTTGAACTCACACTCTCATTATTTATCATTTTCAGGCTTATAGCTTGATAGCAGGTCACTTTTGTTGGACTTTCAGAACTTGCTCTTTTGGTTGTAATTCATACATTTTCCTTTATGTCTAATTAGTGCTCTAAAACTATAAAATTATATTAACTCTTGTATTAAGACAATTTAATTATATTATGAATTTGATTTTGTTATTAATGCTGCGTTGAACTTTGATTGAGTTAGGATAAGTTTGTGTGTAAGTTTGGGTTCGCATAGATATGGAACCTTGGAGGGGAACCTTGCCTATGTGCCGGTCATGGATCCGGGATTCGGGTCGTGACAAGTAGTTTTTTAATTATATTTAATAAATTTAATTTATAACAATACTCTTATATACCCTTAGAATTTACTATGAAAACAATGCAAAAAGAAAAAAAGAAAAAAGAAAAAGAGAGAAGAAAACTCTTGAGTGGGAATTTTGATGGTTTTATCTTTAAAAGCATTAAAATAACTATATTATTCTAAAAAAATTAAAAATACAAAAAATATCATTGAGAAGTAAGCATTAAATTATTTTATTTGAAAGTCAAATAGGTAATTTAGCTGTAATAAAATAAAATGATCAATTTAAATCTATATAATTTATAAAAAAATAATTGTTTTATGTTGAAAAAACCAGCATATTCTAGGTATCTTATTCAAATACCTTGTTGAAAGTTAAAATGATAAAAAATAATCTAACAATTATATTATTACATTAATAACTTTCGTTCAGCTTTTAGTTTTTTTTAATGAATAAATATATTTTTCTCAATCCCCAGATATCATTCCTCCCTCACCTGAAGAGTTGATTGATATGGACCTTGCGTGATATGTCGGCCGTCAACCCCACTGAATCGTCGGTGGCTATTACTGTTAACAAGGCGGCACAACACCCCCCATGTCCACAATCATTACCAGTTCTGGCAATGCTGCTCTTGATATTAAATTAAAAATTTGTTCAAATTTAAAAAATTAAATTAAATTAAATTAATATAGTCGTAAAATTGTTTTTCAGAAAAAGAAAAGTTGAGCACTTTTGAAGCTTGACACGTGCAGTGACCCCCCATCTTAAGTGACAACATCTAAGATCTCTGCCACTTGTGTTCTGTGCCATGTAATGAGGTCTCTCTTTGAAAAATAGTTTTGTAAAATTTATTTATTTTTATTTTTAAATTATTTTTATATATTATTATTAAAAAATAACTTTTTTATTTTAATATATTTAAATACTTTAAAAGACATTTATCAACTTTAACTTTACTCATCGATTGAGAAAATAAAAAAACAATAATCTTTTAATTGCACAATAAAATAATATTACTAGCAATCAATTAATAAAAATAATGAACATAGAGGCTGTATAATACTGTTCCAAACTTTAAACCAGTCAATTTTTTAAATATTATAATTAGTTCATTTAATTTTTTTATAATTTGATTTTTTCAATTATTTTTTAAAATTTTAAAATTTAATTAATTTTTTAATTTTTTTACTCACATATATACACAACTAATTAAATCTAAGAAGATGTTTTAGGATATTGTGTAAATTATGTTTATAAAATATTTAATTTTTTATTAAAAATAATTTATTTTTATATTTTAAATTATTTTAATGTTCTAATATAAAATATAATTTTTTTTAATTTTTTTTAATATATTTTAACATAAAAAATAATTATAACTATACTTTTAAAAACACCCTCAAAAAAATCAATTCATGATGACTATGAAAAAAAGAGTAAAGGCAATTAATACGAGGGGTCATTGCTTCCTTCAACGCTAAAAGAAATCAATTCATGGTGACGATGAAAAACAACTCACCCTTCGTTCAACGCTCTTCTTCTTTTTTAATGCTCTTTCTATTCCACACTTCTTCCATTTCCATTTCTATTTCTGCCATTTTCTCCTATTCTCAGAACAATAACACTATTGCTTTTTGAATTTGATCTATCTTGAAAGACATAAAATAAATTAAAAAAAAAGGTTTCTGTTTTTTTTGGGGGAAGCTGAGGATGCCACATGAATCCTCGTCCGAGCCAGACCCCGATGATTCTGATGCTGAATTCGTCGAGATTGACCCCTCTGGTCGTTATGGTCGGGTCTGTATCTGTGCTTCTTCTTTCCTCGTGTAATTTGAGATTTTGATTGAAGTTTCCATTTTTGGCTTTTGTTGATCAGAGTTGAATTAGCCCATGTTAGAAATAAATGATATTGTTGCAATGTCTCTTTCTCAGCTCAATGCTATGTATTTTATTAGTTACTCTGGCATTTTGATTAATGGATTCTTTTATTGTCTTTCTTGCAGTATAAAGAGGTTTTAGGCAGGGGTGCTTTCAAGAAAGTGTATCCTTTTCTTTTTTTACATCTTTGTCACTTTACAAAGGAAACAACTTTTGCATGAATAATGAAAGTGGCTGTTAGTATTGTTTCTCTGTGTGCGTGATATACATGCATGGTTTAATGGGTTTGAAATTATATATTGTTCTGGTCCTTGATTGAATTATGGGGGCTTAGATATAGAGCATTTGATGAATTGGAAGGAATAGAAGTAGCTTGGAATCAAGTTAAAGTGGCAGATCTATTGCGTAATTCGGTGGATTTGGAGCGTTTATTTTCTGAAGTTCATTTGCTGAAGACTTTGAAGCATAAAAACATTATCAAGTTTTACAATTCGTGGGTCGATACCAAAAATGAGAATATCAACTTCATCACTGAAATTTTCACTTCAGGCACATTGCGGAAGTAAGCCTCTGAATTCTACTATTAAAACATCTCTTGTTTTTGGATTTTGTTTGATTGTGCTCTTGGTTGAGTTGAGGTGCGTGTTTACTCGCTGTCTAGGTATCGGCAGAAGCATAAGCATGTTGATCTGAGAGCATTGAAGAAATGGTCTAAGCAGATTTTAGAGGGACTTTTATATCTTCATAGTCATGATCCACCAGTTATTCACAGAGACTTAAAATGTGACAACATCTTTGTTAATGGAAACCAAGGTGAGGTGAAAATTGGTGACTTGGGTTTGGCTGCCATTCTTCAGCAAGCTCGGTCCGCTCATAGTGTTATTGGTGAGGACTGCTTTCCGGTGATTTGCATGTTATTTTGTTTTATTTTACTTTTTACATGGAAGTTGTTCTGTACACAATGATAATGGTATTGTTACCGTGAAATTAGGTACACCGGAGTTTATGGCACCAGAGCTTTATGAGGAGGAATACAATGAGCTTGTTGACATTTATGCCTTTGGCATGTGCTTGCTGGAGTTGGTGACTGTTGAGTATCCATACGTCGAATGCTCCAATGCTGCTCAAATATATAAGAAAGTGACATCAGTAAGGGATTCATCATCCTTGCTCAAATTTAAATTTATTGAACAAATTACTTCTGTAATTTATATTCTTGCTACCTGTTTTATGTCATAGAGTCTAGACTATTTTTAACACAATTCAAAATATGCAGTTCTGCCTTTGTAGCTTAATATCTTGCTGCATCTTTAAACTTTCAAACGCTGTGGTCTTGATAGTTTAGTTTGTCAAATTGTATTGGAAGTTGATTTTCTTTGTCTATTTTTTCAAGAAAATTCTCACCATTACTAGGTGTTAATCTCGGTTCTCTTTCTCCATCCATTCCTGACCACATGATTCACTGGGTATCAGATTTCTTACGATCTTGATTTTATATGGAAGTTGTGAAGTGAAAACCCTGGATTAATCTTGTGGAGTTTCTGTTCTCAATAGACTTTATGATTCTCATGATAGTTTATGATATGAGCTTCAGTTCACTTATTGGTGAAAGAATGTGGCACCAATACAATGCTCAGTTCTTTAGTTATTACATGACATATTAGGGTAGATATCATTGAACCCCTCAGCTTCTGGACATGATATAGTTCCCCAATATACTTGAATATTGTGCTGGCATGCATATGTTGTATTCCTCCTTAATGTATGCTGACTTTACCTCAGATGTCACATTCCTCCTCCATGCAACATGTTTTCTTGCTATCATGGATCAGGCTGTATCTTCAGTAGGATAGAGTTTGAATCTGTACAGTAGAAGTTTGTAGGCTTTTCTGCAGAGCATACCTCTAATAATAGCCAACTAGTTTGCGTTTGGAAAATTTCCACTACATAGAGGTTTGATGAATGGAGAAAAGGGAGCCTATCCACTTTTAGTGTTCCCGTGCTTTTGTTGTCAGATTAGATCAGACACCGAAGCTTTTAGACCTTCATGCATTCATTAATGTCTCCTTTCCTTGACAAGTCTTTTCTGAATCAAAGCTTGTCCAGCTTTTAACACCCTGTTCCCCAATTCATGCACAGCCAGTGTGGCTCCCAGCACATTATCATTTTTTCATTGTGTTTTACATTATGGTTCTAAGATGCCATTGTGGTTTTTTTCTTCTTCTTTTTTTTGAAAGGGAATTAAACCGGCATCATTAGCAAAGGTGAAAGATCCTGCTGTTAAAGCATTTATAGAAAAATGTATTGCAAAGGTCTCTGACCGATTGCCAGCAAAGGAACTTTTGATGGATCCCTTTCTTCGATCAGATGAGGAAAATGTAAGTGGAGGTTACTCTTTACGACCCAAAGCCCATTCTTCAGGTAAACTTAAATATCTTCCAAATTCTATGGTATTCAAATGTTTTTTACGCTCTGTTTGGTACTTGACAAAGATTCATGGATAGAGAAAATGAGAGTAAGGGGAAATAGATTTTCTTTTCTTTTTGTCTATCTATGAAAAACAACAAGAAAAGTTCTTAAGTCCTTAAATCTGCGCCAGTTTGGTGGGAACACACAATTCACAACTAGTACAAAGGTTCCCAACGTGCTTGCCTCCTTTTTGTTTCATGTTATCAACCAAATTAGAGAAACATGATTCCTCACAAATTTTCCCTTTCCCCCTTATATTCTGTAAGCCTACCACATCATTAATTTTTCAGCTTGGACACCTTGCATAAATTTGCAGGTGGTAGTTCTGATCAGCTTGATGTTAATGAAAGTGCCAGGGATTCTGCTGTTGAACCAAGTAGAGATTTCTCTGTACAAGGTCAGAGGAAAGACATTAATACAATATTTCTGAAACTAAGGATAGCTGATTCCACAGGTTCTCTCTCTCTCTCCATTAAAGGTTTTGTCCATCAGCATCCACAAATAATTCTAATTAAAAGGTTGTTTCCATGCTTCAAGGTCATTTCCGCAATATCCACTTCCCTTTTGATGTTGAAGTAGATACAGCAATTGCAGTTGCTAGTGAAATGGTAGAAGAGTTGGATGTGACTGATCAAGACGTTTCAACAATTGCTGCTATGATTGATTCAGAAATTCGGTCCCATATCCCCGATTGGGATTCCAACAATGTTTCACCAGAAAATTTAGCTGCTGAGGTCTCAGAACTTTTTGTGGAAACTAAGGATGACAATTCACCTTTGTCAAATGAATCTAGTCTCTCTCCTGGTAGTCTTGTATTAGAAAAATTGTCTTCAGGCCGCAAGTATTGGCGTGACTCACCCAAGGATGTTGATGGAAACTCTCCAAGCAAGCTTGGATGTTCTAACTTGTCTTTTCACGGGTCTTCTTCAAGTAGTCCAAATGATGCTCAGTCACCTGGACAGTTGGAGGCTGGGAGCATGTCTGATGGTGATGATGGCAGTGGAAAAAATGGAAGTCATAGATCTGATAATTTGCCTTTTGCTAATAGAAACAGTACACCTGTCAAGATAATTGCTGAGAAACTCGAGAATCTTCTGGTAATGCAGCAACAAGAACTAGAGGAAGTAAAGAGGAAGCACAAAGTAGCCATATCAGACTTTCTGAATGAAGTTTCTCCAGAAATCTGCATGGAAGTTCTAAGTATATGTAAACTGAAAATACCTGGTTATGAAATGCGGTGATGGAATGTGCATTTAGTGCGTGACAGTCATGGGCTACCCTATAGAATTCAAGGTGTCTTGCATTGCAAATATTCAGCTTGACAATGGATTAGTAAGTTTGTAATTAGACGAACTCTGAAAGGCTTTCTACCAATCACGATGGATCAAGACATCTACGAGACTCAAGGATCTTCATTGCAGAAAGCCTGCTGCTTGACATGACTTGAAAGACATGATGATCAAGCCACAAGAGACGGAAGAGCAGAATCATAGCATGAAGATACAGGTGGTGATCAACTCAAAATGTGCCTGAAACAGACGCAGCACAATATTTATCATACATTAATCTTCTTAATTAAGCACTGGAGAGGAGGCACGGTTCAGTAAGTCTGTATTTTTGTAATATTAGCTCGCCTAAAAATTTTCACCACGCCCCCAACTTCACACACCCACAGTTTATCTCCATATTGTTTGCCCTTTCTTCAGTCTGATATGGGTCATCAAGATTTTGTTGAATGTATACTTGTACATATGTTTCATTTGATTGAATTACACGTGAAGCCTTGCTGGTTCAAAATTGTTGTTGGAGTGATTGCATTAACCTTATCAAACTCATCAAGCTTGGCAATGCTATGAAGGTTGTGAATTTTACCGAGACTGAATGCAGATTTCGCTATTTGTGCCTTGAGTTATGTGTTGGTTTTATTTATTTATTTATATATTTATATTATTATTCTTGCCACATGCTAGCATTATTGGGATGTGGAAATGCTTGTAGTTCGTTGCTAAAGCTGGCAGACTAGTGTAGAACGTTGGCTGCACTGTTCAGTTTCTGGAGCAACTGGCTAAGTAGCAAGGACAAAATAATAAAAAGTAGGAGATTGTTTCTCTCTGTTTTTGGTTTTTTTTCGTGGCATTTCATGTGTCCAAATACTTCTATTTAGCTGGTAGCGATTCCATGTAAGCCCTAAAGATAGTTAGCTGTGGATTGTAGCTCTCTTGCGACGCAAGGGAAGGGGAAAAAAATAATCTCTCGGGTTTAAATTATTTTAATATATTTCTAAATAAAAATACTTTAAGAAGTAATTATAATTATATTTTTACTTATGTTATTTTGATAAATTTTTTAATAAGAAAAACGTTAAAAAGTAATTATAAGTGTACTTCCAAACATGTTATAAAAAACAGACTGAGGCCGTCTTCAGCTTTGTTATGATTTTGAAACGTACCATCACATGCTTAGATCTGGATACTCGGAAGCCCCTTTTTTATTTATAGCATCTTGCTTTGCACCGAACAAATCCAGAACGAAAGCATTGATATCATTACTTCTCGTGTGGTGGATCACGAAACTTCCTGGATGCCCCCGTGCCTGATTTTTTCCTTTACAGCTAGTTTAGATTCAGAGGGAATCAATGGTGTTTGAGGCAGAACAATTGACAAATATGATGCACCTTTAGCAAATATTATTCCATGTATTAAGACTAGAAAAGGCTTGTTTCTAATTGATCAACATGTATTTTTTTTTTCTCCCCAACCTTTATTTTATTCTAGTTTAAATTCATCATGAATGATTCTAATTTCAATTTTTACTTCTATCCTATACTCCAAGGAACCGACAACCAAGAAATGATCAGATTATTGTTGTAGACATGTTGCATTGCGTTGTTTGCATGATAAACAATGTGAAAAACAAACCAGATGATTATGTGTTATGGATAGGATGTGATCCTATGTTGAATTCTCAATTCAGTTACACCAAATAGTATCATATATTTGACCACAGCCCAAGAAACCTGGCAGATAGTGTCATATATCTGACTACAGCCCAAGAAACCTGGTAAGACCTTACAAATTGTTTTTGTCAAAGTAATGTTCCTCTCATCTTTTTTTAAATCGAGCAGGACATAGCTTGTCTCACTCAAGATCACATGATTGTTGCAGCTTGCTAGACAAAAATTAAAAGGATTGTGGGATGAGCTGGGATCCTATAATGATATTGCTTGTTCTTATGAAGAAGACCATAAGATACATAGACTGATTCAATTTCTTATGGGACTCAATGAGTTCTACAATGCAATTAGAGAACAAATTCTGTTGATGAATCCGCTGCCTGATGCCACAAATGCCTATTCTTTCATAGCGCAAGAAGAAAAGCAGGGAGGTTTGGGCAGTGCATATGAAATGACAGAAACTGCAGCAACAACGATACAAAGGAACGAGCATGCAATATTAGGAGTTCAGCAAGGTTATTCTTCCCACTCCAACTCTTCTAATCGCAAAATATTACGTTGTTCTTGTTGTGATTAGGATCATCATGTGCGAGAGAAATGCTGGAGATTTAATGGATATCCACCGGGACACCCAAAAACATAAACCAAATCAAAGGGGAAATCATTTTAAAAACAACAGCACCATCCATCCTTTGGCTAATCAGTCTTCATCTACTAATATCAAAGAGGTTCCAATGATGCAAGAAATGCGATCCGGTCTTTCATATCTGTAATTTAAATAGATATAATATATATCATTAAGGGTAATGAAGCCTCAACATCTATCACTGATCATCAAGCTGATGTTGTTGGTGTCTCTACAGGTTCATCACAAACACAATTGCACACTCCTCAATTAATTATCGATAATTATGCCACTAATTATATTACTGCCTATCAGTTATGATATCGAGTGGAGAACAAACTCCTATTGCATCAATCAGAACTTTACCCTTGAATTCAGCTTTTCATTTTAAAGATGTGCTTGATGTGCCATCCTTTCAAGTGAATCTTATGTAGGCGAGTTGTGTTATAAGAGGCCTCGACTGTTTCATAACCTTTTTTTTTTTTTTTTTTTTCTATTGGTGTGTTTTGCAGGACTTGACAATGAAGAAAGCAATTGGTTTGGGTAAACATCAAGAGAGAGTTTATTACTTGGTTGTATTAGCTTTGGATAAAACAAAATATAAAACATTGCTAATCGTCCACCATGTTTTCAAAACATTTCCCTCATCGATCTTTGCCATCATCGAGTGGGGCATCTATATTTCTTTAGATTAAGTTTTATGGCTGAAAGTTCTTTAAAGTTTCCTTTCAAGACATATAATGTTTGTGATGTTTGTGCATTTGCGAAGCAAAAAGGATTCATTTTCTTTATCTTTTGTTCGACCCTTTGAGTTCACTATGAGACTTGGGGTCCATATTCCATTCCATCTCTTTCCAGTGCTAAATATTGTTTGATAATTGTGGATGATCACTCTAGATTTGAAAAGGTGGAACACATTAATTACTGACCTTTTTTTGTTCTTTCATCAAAACACAATTCAATGCTTTTATAACTAACTTTTGCACTGATAATGGCACAAAGTTTACTTCCATAAAACCTTTTTTTTTTTAACAAAATGAAACAATCTTTCATAATTCTTGTGTTTATACTCCTCATCAAATTGGGGTTGGAGAGTGCAAACATCTTCATATATTGAGTTTGCTCGAGCCCTTCGTTTTCAAGCAAATCTTTCTTTATATTTTTAGGCTGAGTGTGTCCTTACAACTGTCTATCTCACAACCACCTTTCCACACTTCTCTCATGGAAAACTCTTTTTGAGCAACTGTATGCATGGCCACCCGTTGTGTTTTTCTAGATTATCTAGTTGACCAAAAAGCTTACAAACTATATGAATTTGCACCATCAAATATTTGCTAACAGAGATGTTCTTCATGATAATATTTATCATTTTGAATCTACTCTTACCACTCCCATCCACCAATGTTGAAACAATACTCTCTCATTGTGTGGACACCTCTACCCCTTTGATTTTTTTTTCAATCAATCAATCCATTTTGTCTCTCGAGTCTTTGCTCGATATTCCTTCCTTTAATAGAAAAAAACACCTTCCTCTGTTTCTTCATCCTCACAGCCTCTTGTCCCTATTCTGCGTTGTTCTCAACGTTCTCCTGCCCCTTCTACAACTTTACGTGACTATGTTTGCAACCAAGTAGCGTCACCTAGTTATCTTGGTCATCTAGTCTACCAAAATTTACGAGATATCCTTTCAATAAATTTGTCTCTTACAATCGATACCCACCAGGATATCGCTTCTTTGTTGCTCCTGTTAGTCAGGACTCTGAGCCTACCGCATATGCTAAAACAGCCTTCCATTCTCATTGGAAAAACACCATATAATCTGAATTAATAGCTTTAGAAATCAACAATACATGGTCTCTTATTCCGTCTCAACTAGGCAAACAACCTATTAGTTGCGGTCGAGTTTATAAAATCAAACGACACTCTGATAGTCTTATAGAGCATATTATAAAGCTCCTTAGGTTGCTAAGAGTTATAATCAATTGAAAGGTATCGACTATCATGACACTTTTTCCCATTGTGCTGTTGGTCAAGTTGTTCACGATACTTTCCTTCACATTGATAGGCATCTATGTCTCTAAATCTTGGTCTTTCGCAAATGGAAAAGAATGTCGTGTTGTATGTTGCTCAACAAGTTTTTATATGGTTTAAAACAAGCTTCTTATCTATGATTTGCCAAGTTCTCTACATCTATTGAAGTTAATTGAAGTTGCTGGTTTGCTCAATCCAAAGCTGATTAGTCATTATTCACATATCAAAAAGGAAAACCTTCTATAGCTTTGTTGATTTATATTGACGATATTTTAATTACAAGTAATCACTTAAATATTATATCTACTTTTAAAAAATTTCTAGATTGATTTTAAAAAAAAAAAATTGAAAGATTTGTAGTATTTTTAGGGTATTAAAATGTCTCGATGAGAGAAATACATCTTTATCTCACAATAAAAATAAACTTTGGAAGGTACAACAAAACAAAAATACACTTTGGTTCTTAATAACATACAAGCCTTTTACAGCGAGTGTTTTCTTTTATTTCTTAACAACTTCTTGTAATGTTTTCAGCTATAAAATGAAAAAATGAGACCTTTTTTCTTCACAAGGAAATTTCAACAACAGTTTGCATGCAACACTCCATATACTTGGTTTCCCACATTAAATCTCAAATTTTGCAAACTAACCGTGTTCAAAACACCCTAAAATAGCTTCATATTCTCAACGAAACCTAACCCTCCAATAAATCATTGTTAAACTTCGCAATCAATCAAACCCACTTAAAACAAAAGAATCAACAAAATTAACCGAAAATACTTATTGCGAAATTGACATTCAAACAGGTAACATATACTAGAAACGAAACTTACCCGGATGATGAGAAGCGGGATCAATTCAAAGAAATTGATCAAGAAAGGGTGTTGAATTCTGGAGATAGATATTTTCTAGCATTCATCAATCTCTTTAGCCGCGATCTTTTCCTAGGAGCTGCCTTACTACTGGCTTTCAAACATATACTATCAATAACACGAAAAAACCGTATCCCTTAAGGCAACATCAATAGGTACTAGATGTTAAAATAAGGAGTAACTTGACTCTTTTCGGCTTCTAAAATCTCTTTGATCACAAGACATGAGCACGAGCCACACACAAGCATTCATAACTGCAAGACACCTAACGAACCCTCAGTTGTTTGACTCTTCATTGCCCCAATATAGGTATTCGGAGAAACTAACTTTGTTGGGTTTGGCATTGGGATAAACCTTCCACGGCCAATTCTGTATATCAGCCATTTGCAATTTTGCAT